GAAGGAATTTGGAAACTACTAAAGTACTACGGCGTACCCCCCCAAATATTCATCAACCTTATTCAACAGCTGTACGACAACGGCACATGTCAAGTGATCCACAACGGAAAACTCAGCGAAGCGTTTGGAGTAAACACAGGAGTCAGACAAGAGTGCTTATTATCACCAATGATATTCCTAATTGTGGTGGACTGGATTATGCGTCAGACAGTGGGAAACGAGAAGACAGGGATATCCTGGACCGACGTGAAGAAAGACCTGGATTTCGCGGATGATTTATGTTTGATGTCACACAAAATCGAAGACTTACAAGCGAAAACCGACAAACTGGTCGAAGAAGCAGCCAGAGAAGACAGGACTCCAGGTGAACACAGACAAGACGGAGGTTATGAAAATAACCAACCAACAACAACAACAGCAGCAGCAACATCCAGCGCCAATCACCATCAACGGGAGGGATTTGAAAGAGGTTACTTCATTCACTTATCTAGGGAGCATTGTCTCAACTACACGAGGAACGGACGAGGATGTCAAATCGAGAATCGAGAAGGCGAGAAACACATTCATCAACCTGAAACCAATCTGGAAATCTTCGTCACTCAGTATCAACAACAAAATTCGGATTTTCAATAAAAACGTCAAGTCAGTCAGTTCTTCTATACGGATCAGAAACTTGGCGGCGGGTCACAAAGAATATTTCCAACAGCCTGTTGCTGACCTTTATCAACAGCTGTCTTCGCTCTATACTGAAGATCAGATGGCCGGAAAGAATCACAAACAAGAAGCTATGGGAACAAACAAAACAAGAACCAATCGCCCAACAAATATGCAGGAGAAAGTGGAGATGGATTGGACACTCGCTGAGGAGGCCGCTGGGTGACATCGCGCGTCAGGCCATAGCTCGAGTGGAACCCGAAAGGGAAGCGGTGAGTGGGACGTCCAAGGGTGACATGGAGGAGATCGTGTGAAGAGGAGATGAAACAGTATGGACTAACATGGATGCAGGTGAAAAGTACAGCAGAAGACAGAAGCAAGTGGAGACGTGTAGTTGAAGCCCTATGTTCCACTAGGAACCCAAGGGAATAATAATAATAGTACTCTTTGCTAGTTTTCAGTGGTTCTCTAACTGATGTGTAAGTCATAGTTTATGATGAAACTTGAAATCAATCAAACGTCTGTTAACTAACACTTAGAGAATATTGATTGATCTATGGCAGCTTTTCAAATTTCACTTAATTAACGCAATTCCTAATTTTAAAAAAATATTTTAATTAATGTGTAGTTTAGCAGAAAAACATACACGACTAGAAGTTTACTAATAAGGCCGAAAGTGTTATAAATATCATCAAATAGTTAGACAGATTAATTATGTACATTTCAGCGGAGACAGAGAAACAAACCGATTGTATAGACAGACACACATCTACACTGGAACAGTTTTGTTTTCATGCAACATTAATCATATGATACAACACAGTGATAATGAATTGTAATAGAATTCAATAAGATTGTACAGAGTTAAGTATTGAATAAAGGTGAGTACCATTATATGCCTAATAGTGATAGTAGTTTAAAATGAAATCACTAGGACAGACTTCACCGTCGACTACTCACATTATCATAAACTCGTATATTGATACAGTTTAGTATGAGTATTAATACATCTTTTTCATTCCTTTGCCTTCTGGGTGGAGAGTAGGCTTTCCAGCTTTGAGCTTTGAAGTTCTTATTAGCGCTTGCGTTGTTTTTATTGGGTGAGGTTACTATCCCAACTTAGCCTGCTAACCTACCATCTTTTCCGGATTTAATGCTAGTAGTTATGCGAGGTTTAGGAGTGCGTAGGTTGGGAATCGAACCCAGACTGGGTGGGTAGCTGGAGAACATTCTACTCCTGAACTACCGATATAGTATTATTAATATTATTTCATATATATGTGGCCAAATAATAATTCAATATTATGAGTTTCACTGGATGTAATGTAATGAGCACAATCTAGTCAACACAGTTGGTCCTTCATCGTCGGATTTCTGAGCAACATCTTGCATGCTTAAGGTCTGTCTGTAAGGTTTGTATTAGCTAATTATGTTGATGTTACACAAGGAACATGAAGTTATCGACCGTATTCCAATTAATCTTAATTTTGCCTTATGAGGTCGTCTTCTATATATATACATATATATTATATATATATATATATATATATATATACAGAGAGAGAGAGAGAGCCAGATAAGGACGTTATCCAAAAGATTATTTTCTCTATTTGATCTCCTTTTGTCTTACAAATTCAAAAGTTAAATTTTAAGTGTATAGTTCAGTCACTGACATTGCTATACTACATTATACTCTATACGAAGTAGACTAAATTTAGTCTATAACATTGCCTAGAATTTCAGCCTAACTGTTTATCGCTTACAACTTGAGAGCCATTCATTAACTGTAGTTACGTCATCGTGAAGGTGAATTCGGTTGGCGTAATCGTTTGACTTTCATGAATTGAATGGTAACTTTAAACTTACTACTACTACTTCAACATCCACAGCTTTAACCTAGATCAAAGGTCGTGTCAATGAATTTTTATTGGTATATTGCCAACCAGTCACAACAATACAGTCTTTAAACATTAAAAACCTATAAGTTATTGGCCATGTAAAACAGATATATTGTGGTGAGAGCTAGCTGCAAGCCAAAAATTGTAGACAGCAATTTACGTCAATGTTACGTCCCGAATCGAGGTCATGAGAAAAGACAATAACAAAGCTTAACCTAGAGGAACTCATTAACCAATCACAGCGGACTTAACGTGTGCAAATACGATTTGCAGATATATGGCTTAACTTTCTAAGAAAAGGTCACAAGCAGTACAGAGGAACTTTCAGCAAGAAAACAACCAATCAGAAGACACTGCTTCTCTGTTAACAACAAGGAATAATAATGTACATAAGAATCTATAAATATCTGTTGATTTTTTCAATAAACGATCTGTTGCCTGGCCCTTGTCTTCTGTTGTTACAATATAAATAGATGTAGTTTCCTGCCTTCTTTTCAGTCAATCTTCTACGTCTTTTCAATGTGGGAATAGTATTCGAATGGTTAATTATACATAAGGTTGTGTGTTGAAGTACTGTAGATGAATGAACGCGGTCTTTCCGGTTCGCAGGTGGTCAGACAGAAGGGACTCGAATCAAGTATTATCTGGACACTTCAATCTCGTACAATCAATCACATGAAACTGTTGATGAATTACACTGGAATTATGTTTTCATTTTATCAGTATTATTATCTATTATTTTCAGTCACTTATTCTAATAATCCCATATTATATATGAGAATAAAATGTTACTTAATATTCATTTGCATTTCCATGTAGTAGGCAATAAGCTACTCCTACTATCTAGTTATCGAGAAGTCGGTAGTTGGAGCAATAGGGTTCAAGCGCGCCTGTGACACAGCGATTGAAAGTCGACAGTCTAAATCAGTGAGTCACAATTCTGTTATACATACGAGAATTCTACATTTGTCTATCAACTTTATTTTTTTATTTATTTATTTTGTTTTATTTGTGTCACCTACCCTTTTTACAACTTCACAAGCCTACTTTCTAGTCAGACATAAATTGTAATTCTTGTAATTTCAATCAGTATTTTATTTTTAGTTGTGAATTTTAGTCTCTGATCACTCTTCGAATGCATTTATAGTGTATTTTGTATTTATATATACTGATAGCTGTTTTTCTTTTCAATTGGTGTGAAATAAAAGTGTCATTACTATGTTAACTATCTGTTTGCTTTTTATCTCAATTCAAAATTTCACGACATTACCATTATCAATGAACTTATTAAACTTGATAACGATGAGAACATGATTTAACATTCAACCTGATCTTATAAACTATCTGGTACGACTGAGGGTAGAAAGACTTCCCTCTTCCGCTTGAAATGTTCTTATTTGGCCAAGCGTTCATAGTTCCAGCTAGATAAGTCTCATTCACTACTTTCATGCAGCAGGGGTGTTTCTCAAACAAAAGTGAAAAAGTGAACACTAACGTCAGGCTCTTACAACCCGGCTGGTGAACATGTAGATCCAATATGGGGGAGCTGGAAAACCCTGTTTCCAAACCTATGAGTGTATATGACGATGAATGTACGTTGCATGCATTCTAGTATCAGATAAGCTGTGAAAATGTGTTTGGAATAGAGTAGCCTTATTTAACAATTATATTAGTCATGATATAAAGAGACTTTTAGCCATACATTCTCAAATACCTTCAAGAATGATTTTTGAATCTAAGTTCTACTTCAGGAATATTGAGGTTAGGCGTCTAGTAATAGGTAAGGAGGGGAAATCAATTGACTGAGATGGTTTGGATATGTGTCACGCATTCCTAGCCATCTCCTTCCTCGACAACGGGCAATGTTAGCTGACATTAGGGTCAGGTTGGAAAAGAGCCAGTGGTGATCAAACAAAAGCATGGCTTCATCAGTCAGTGAAATCCATAACAGTCAGTGTAAGCCAGTCATATAGGAAGATGAAAGCTTCCTGGTTGGGGTCCTCGAAACGATAAACACCAATGTCTGGAGACAATTGGTGATGTGGCCCAAAATCGTTCTCAATGGCGCAGATGCATCCACTCTCTGTAACTTATCATATCCAATAAAGCTCTACTGTTCTTCAATATTACTATTCTTTTTGCATCATATCTCTGTTTGGAATCTCTTTTTACTTTCTTCTTTCTTCTCTGGCTTTGTGTGCTGAGTGAAGTGTGTTGACTTGAACTGCTGCACATCGGTGTAAAGTTCTATGTTGAAACCAGCAGCAGCAGCAGTTCTACTTGAAAAGTCTTTGATTTGATACTCAACAGTCTACATTTCATGACTTTAATTACTTCATAACACAAAAATAAAGTACACAAGTTCAAAAAAAGGTGAAATAAATTTAAACTACTGACAATAAGACGAATTATAGGCATTAAATACTAAAAAAAAGTAAAATGACTTACAACAACCCATTTATTACCCCTTAATTCTAAACAACCAGCTGCAGATAATTCATTCTTCACTCCTGATGCTGGTGATGAATTCATATGATTTCTTGGTGCTGGTGACGTATGCGTAATTGGTGTTTCACGTAGCTTTGGATTTTTATGCGTTTTCATATCATCGGTAACCTTGCGTAGATGAGATGTCACTGACTCACCACGATTTAATTCAGCGAATAGAGCAGCTTGTGCTGAATTATCACCTCCTTGCTAATTAGATATCACATATAGAAAAGAAGTTTTAGAAAAAGCATATTTATTAAAATACCGATAAATAAGTAAACAGATAAACAGTGCACAAATAAGAGTATGCGAGAATCTATTCTTTTAAGTAGTTTAATTGGTGTACAGAATACTCAAATTATAAGCAAAGAAGAGAAACAGACATTAAGACCAGCTGTAAATATATACACAGCAACCAGTAAACTGGATCTAATTAGTTTCTACACACACACACACACTACAGTGACTAACAGAAACTTATATTATAAATTTTCATAGCAAAAGAAGACATGAAATAATGATTAAGTTAGATAGCGAATTGACTTCAATTAGGGTACCACTGAAAACCAGGGGATATTGGATACGTGTTTCGTCCCCGCTTGAGACCCTTCAGTGGTACACACCTGTGACCTCAGTGGGGTTTGAACCTAAGACCTTCATGTTACAAGGCGAGCTTGTTGACCATTCAGCCACTGGGGACGGAATCCAATGGCCCATGAAAAAATTAATCTAATGCACACTAGTGACCGACTGCAGGGTGAAAGTGCTTGGAGTTCTAGTGATGAGTCGTGACCAGTGGAGTTAGCAAAGTTGAGTGTGTGGACATTGACTGGCGGTTTCACTGTACATCGCAAACTGACAGAAGTTAGGATTTATGAGCCTTTGGATTCTGTCCCAGGGGTAGAGTACTCGCCAACCGCACAGATGGTCCGGGGTTCGATTACCCGGCCAATGCAAGCCTAAACCTGACCTAGCCGATAGTAAGACCTGAAAAGATGGGAGGTTGGCTTTGAGACTAGTAACCCCACTGCGTAAAAACAGCACCCCTGTAGCTGAAACTTTGGAGCTTGAAGTTCAAAGCACTATGTTCCACTTGGAATGCAAGAGATGAAAAAAAGCAAACTGCTGCCTTCGCCTAAGAATCTCCCAAGCTTATCAACATTTTACGTTGAAAATATCTAAGAAACTTTTAAAGTTGAAGCTAGAGGATTTGAAAAACCTATCAGTAAACTTATTAAGGATATCTGCCTCTTCAGCTTTATCAAAAAAGGAGTTGCTGGAAGTATGAAGAGATGATCAGGTGATTATAAGTTAGTTAACTCAATCACTAGGCCACAGCTTTAAATCCGACTCCTCAAATCGAGTTCTGAACAGTAAAGTGGTATCATCATGTTTTGCACAACAGATGTGGCATGTAAATATACGTGGTTTTTGAGTGAAACTTTATTCTTTCCCACTTCGTATCAGAAGTATTTCGTAAATATTATTTGCTATGATTGACATTAATATTTCTTAGTAAATATCAAATAATTTCAGATATACTTTCATGATAAAAAAACAAACTTGTTTTGACGCACTATGGACATTGCAGCTAAATCAGAAGCTGTAAGGACAGGTGGTGGAGGCGGTGGAGGGGCAGCAGCAGCAGTATGAGAATTAACTTCACGAGTTGGAGATGACTTAGATAGTTTTGAGGCTGTAGCTGGTTTACCACGAGCATTCCAAACCAGACCGGTAACGTGATGTTTCTTTACATAGGCTTGTAATGCCGTCCAAAGTGACATGAGATTTTTTGTCCAAGTAAGGTGAATTGTATCCCTATAAATAACAAGTAAAATTGTTTACATGTACATTTCTGCTCAAACGTGATGAGAATGAATACGTATAAACCAATATTATTTTGTAACTTATTATTATATAAGCCTTTTGAGAAGTTGATAAGCTCTTGTTAGAGGTTTTTTAAGTGTGTAGACGTGGCTCACCAGTTCAAGCACTCGACTTCCAGTCAATAAGTAGGTCCCAAGTGAGAATCGTGCTCCACCTACTTTACTGTGGGCAACTGGGTAGCATCGACAGCCCTTACACAACAAGTGTGACTCAAAGTCTGGGATATGAAAAACATGTTTCGGGAACTGAGTTCAAGCAAGAGTTCAGGCGCATAAAAGTTTGCTCTTTGATTATCCGTCGAGTACTTCCCACTAATTAATAATAATATATGACATTATTATACTGCTAAAATCTCAAAATAGTACCACTTAATTTCTACAGAGTGGAAGAGATTGAATACCCTAGATTCATTTGTAAATGTCAGGGTCATAATGTGCTAAGTGATAATATATCATTATAATTAATTAGACCTGGAAGAAGTGAAGTTAATATGTTTTACAGGTTGTACTAATTAAAGGAAACCCTGAAAAAGGGAAGCTATTACAGAGTGAATTACATGAAAAAATAAATAACCTTTTATCCGACTTTAATAAGATGAGTAAGTGACTACAATAACGTTTTTACAAACGAAGCAACAACGATATCTGTAACGCCATATGTTTAAATGACTAATGGCATTTCGACGATTAAGAACAATCAATCTAAATATTCTTCTATACATGGCTCAGATACGATCGTCTGAAAAATCTACATAGTATATAATTACAGTAGAGTTGAATAAACTCACTGAAATCTGGACCTAAACAGCAAGAAAAACATCAAGCAATGCATTTCAGTAATATGTAGTAGGATTAAAGCAACTGAATCCAAAGTGGCTTTCATCAGAAACTGACGTTGCTTACAAAGAGTTTACTTAAATATGAAAGTCTAAAAAGTGTTATAAATGCAATTCTCGGAATTGATACGGCAAACAACAGGTTAAGTAGTGTTATCAAGTACCACACACGCTAAATTACAGGAAAGCTTTGTGTGCTTATTAAAGTGTGTAGGCGGTAATCGCTTCCCGACTAGCCATGCCATGGAAGTGGACTTCTTCCTGGGGTGCCTGAAACAGAAGCATCACTAATGCGTGACCACAGAGCTCAGGGGATAACTGGCCTGTCTGAAGTGGTTTTTAGAGTTGCAACTGTATTAAGATCTTACCAAAGGCTAGGGATCGCTGCAAGGTAGGTCAGGGTGGATCTTTCTTAAACCCCCCTATCGAGAGTGGAGAGGTAGTACAGATGGCATGCTGATCATCAGAGGGAAGCATCTTACTGCTGCCGCATGCTTATTCTTCAGCAGTACAACTTCGTCTTAGGACCCCCAAACATAGTGTAGGCAAATTACACTATGACAGTAATTGCTTTTAGTCTACCGCTATCTAAACGACCTCTAGGGACGTTAGTCTCAACCAGTGGAGTTCGTTGGATTATTGTGATATGCACGCCCGACCACCAAATCAAGGTAACAATCACCAGTCGAGATATTAAATTAAGAAGCCATATGAATCTTACATCTATCATTCCCACTTAATTCAACTACCAAACACAAATTTGTGCATTAATTAACAAATTATAACTAGTACGAGGTTGTGACACTACGTGGCTACCTGATATAGTTTGAAATTGTAGCTGTTTACTGAAATTCGAACTGAAGCTTAACTAGAATCTCAAAATGTAGCGTCTATAGTTTTTCCTATTAAAAAAAAAACAAGTCTATCTTCTAAATTTGAGTTGCGATAGGCTGTTTTTTATCGTACAACTATTTAAAAAGCCAGCAAACTACCAATCGAAATGATTTACAGTGAAAAATTAAACGAAAAAGAAGTAAGAAATAACTCACTTTTCTTTATATTCTTTAATTACACGATTTGTAAAAAATTCACCGGCTTCTTGCATAGTTTTGACGTAGGGTGATGGTGCAGGTTTCTAAGAAGTGAAAAATATTACTTATTAGAAACTTACAACACTCAGCCAACCCAAAGCTGCTACAGATTCAGCCACAGCTGAAAGGTGGTTGAAATAATTGCTGCTTCGATTTTTATCCCTAAATGTCTGCAAGGAAAACAATTTTAAGGAGTAATCATATAATTACAACAACTGCTTCTATTTCTTTTGCCAAAGGACTGATAATAAGTCCGAAGTCAGAGTCACTAGGTGCAGAACATTCGGCGGCCAATTTCAATATTTCTTCTTGTAGTACAAAACACTGCTGTATCATAGACGCCTGGAAGAAATCCACCGTAAAGTCGACAATAACTTGGCATAAAAACCTACATGAGTTTTGACAACATCGCCTATTTTAGAGCTACTGAGCAAATATTCCGATAACGGACCAGTGATGATCTCATGAAATTCCCTGACTGATGGAGAAGTCCCACTTTCTTAAAATTGAAATGTGAAATGATGAAAATTCTAACCTACCTGGAGACATTTTAATTGGTGAAGTCCGATACATATCAGCCTTGTTGTTAGCCGCTGCTTCAAGAAGAACTGTTACCTTTTCCAATCGACAAAGCAAGGAATCTAGTCTTTCCATGCCTGAAATTCAAGACAAGACATAAAAGTAGAATACTTGGTAGCTATTACATATAAAAACATTGGAGAAAAATCAATATTACATAGCTCAATTACTCCGTAACAATATATTCTTAAAACCAGAAAACTTGTTTCGAATGAGTGGTTCACAATGGGAAACGGAATGCATAAATAAGTCTTGGTTTAAATTATTAGAATACTTGAAAAACGATTGAGTACTCCTGTGTCACCTAAATACCAATTCCAAAATACCTACAGTGGATCCTACGCACAACGCTGACTGACTGGTCTCAAAATAGAACTTTGCACCGATGTGCAGCAGTTCAAGTCGCCACACTTCACTCAGCACACAAAGCCAGAGAAGAAAGTAAAAAGAGACAGTAAAGAGAGATATGAGGCAAAAAGAATAGTAATATTGAAGAACAATAGAGCTTTATCGGATATGACAAGTCACAGAGAGTGGATGCATCTGCGCCATTGAGAACGATTTTGGGCCACATCACCAATTGTCTCCAGCCATTGGTGTTTACTGTCTCGAGGACCCCAACCAGGAAGCCAACACCTCCCGACGTGGCTCCCTTAAACTAACTGTTATGGATTTCATTGACTGTTTTGGTTTGACCACCAGTGGCTCTTTTCCAACCTGACCCTATGTCAGCTAACATTGCTCGTCGACGACAAATGAACAATGACATTGTGAGAAGGCATCTTTATAATATCCTTGAATAAATTAGATGGATGAATAAACTCGACGCTTTGAGTAACTGGGTGAACTCCAAATATATTACTCAAATGGTTAGGAAGGAGAGGGGTAATACAGATATTACTAGTAATCTCTTAAGTTTTACCTTATTTTTATTCATTTCCTCACATACGAACCCAGGTTATTACAAAAACTAGGACATGCATTTCGTAGAAGTGTGAAAATATAAGGAAAAACTAAACCGTTTACTGACGCAGATACAATCAAAAAGGACCAGGAAAAAGCTGAAGTGGTGGCCGACTATTTCACCAAGGCTTAGCACAGTAGTTTCCACCAGCCATAGCAACACACGCGATCGCGCTACAAGGAAACGGAATAGGTTGTGTCGATATCGACCAAAATATCATATTTCAATCCCTCAGCAAAGTAGATGTAGGAAAGTCAATGGGACCTTCTGATCTTCAACTAAGGCTTCCTAAGTAGGTGGTAGCTCACATAATGAACCCAGAGACTACTATATTCAGGCTATTCTCCTCACATTTAGCGTTGCCACGTAATTGGAAGGATGTAGTAGTAACCCTTATCCATAAGACAGGACCTAAGCACTGTCCTTCAGACTGAAGGCTTATTAGTCCTACCAGGGCCCTGATCAAGATATTGAAAAGAATAATCCAGAAAGTTATCATGTCTGCACACAGAACGTTTTCTGAGGGGATATTTCGTGTCTGAAAAACCTCACGGCAAAGAAAAGTTGGGTCAAGTTCAGGGACAAAAAGAAACCCATCGACGTTGTTTTCATGCATTTCAGGAAAGCTTTTATCAAAACCCCAGACACAAGACTGCTTGCGAAATCGGAAAATTTTGGAATTACGGGTGGCACGCTTAAATGGATCAGTAAATCCCTCGTAAGTGAGAGAATCATGAACGACTGAGAACACTCCTTCTGGACGGCAGTATGTAAGGGTTTACAGCAAGATAGTGAACTTGACCTCCTTTTGTTTGTCCTGTAGATAAGCCAGAGCTTACCAAATCTTCTATGGCTCTCTACTTAAATAACCTCAAAATTTGGAGGGAGCTAAAGGATAAAAGCGATATCCTTACTTTTCAAACATATCTCAACAATAGGCTGGACCAGAGTGGGTGCTTCCCAGGAAGGTAGACAAGTGTGCGACCGTTTGCATCTGGCAAGCAAGTGTCAGTGAATACGACATAGAGGGAACATCACTTCAGTCAGTTCAATAGTATATAGACCCCGATGTCATCGTGTCATGACCTAAAAACCACGTCACATTTGTGCAGTGTCGGCTTGAAACTTTAGATGCCTGTAGGCAATACATGTGGCTTTAAGCACAAACACCGGTGAAATTTTCACAACTTTAAACACGTCTCCAGTGAGTAAGAGGTTGGAAAATTTCATCCAGACACTGTCATTTTCTCAACGGGGACTCATTCTAAAGTGCTCAGAAGAAGACCACAAGTATAATTCTTGGTATGGCCGATTTATCATACTAGGAACGACTTAGTAAGTCGAATCCCTTATTCTCGTCACAGTGTAGGCAGAGATCTCATTGCGACGCTCAAAACTCTAAAACATGACCATGAATCCAGTGTATCTTTGTATTATTTTCTGCCAGGTTGGAACACCTCAAAGGAAATAGCAAGACAGTTCGAAAGTCAAGGAGGAACTGTATCGCTGTGGACTACTGGTTCTCCAACCAAGTCACTAGCTGCTGGAATTAACTCCCAAATTACGCGTCAGAGCCCACATTCGACTCTTTCAAGGAGGAATCGGACAAACACAGAAACTAATTAGAACAGCATTTACGACCTCTACCCTCAGTCAAAAATCCACATCTTAGTGAAAGACCAAATGACTTAGTTCAATTAAGATAGCGCTCGTTAACTTGTTAACAGCATTAAGTGCGAAGGAAGAGTTTGCATGAAAATATTCGAAACTTCGAATATTTTCCCAATTTCCCCGTGTTTCCCATATTTTCCCACATCACCCATGTCTCTAGAAAAAAGCTGTCCCTTTTTTCCCACTTTGCTCATGTCATTTCTGAAAATAACCCATTTCACTGCACTTCGAACGGAAAACTGCTAATGTTTTTACCCAAATATCCCAGGTCTGAAAAAACTATACGACTGGGAAGTATGACGAAACAGAAATAGCATAGTTCTTTGGCAAAAAATCTATACTGAAAAGAAGACGAAAGAAGTATGCCAGAGGAAGACCTAAATCAGATTACAACATGATAGCCATTAAAACTCCACAAACTCGGTTTTGACACATTAATTTCATGAAACATTCTACAAAGTCAAATTGTTTCAAAATAATCGGCATTGAAATTAAACATTCGTTACCGTTTTGAAAATATTCACCGAAATCTGCCATGCACTCTTCTTAACAAAAAGACATCTACTTACACCAAAGGCTTTCGGCCTTTGTAACGCAGCTACTGTCTAACGCGGGTTCTGATGAATATCTCAATTTCAATTTTGTTGAAGTAACTAGTCATTGTAACGTAGCAAATAATATCATTAACTGCTTTAAGGTAAATAGAAGCGTACGCTTGAGAGGAATTGTAGCGGTAGGTAATTCCCCAGAATTATTGGCCACAGCATTCACCTCTGTACATTGGATTCTGACTCTCACTGTTTAAGTCAACTTATTTAGTTGAAGGCTTCTGGTCAAGCATCCACCCCATTAGGTACGCTGTTGTGTCACATTTTTTTCGTTCGTGCACGGTCCCTAGTTAGTTAAGCAATCAACCTTGCACTCCAATTCGGTCACGAAATATAACTCGTAATTTGGACGATCAATTTTGGTGTTTTGCTTTGTCTTTGGTCTACGCGGAACGAATATTATGGAAGTTGTGTGTATTAGACCTTGAGTTAGTATACTTCGTGCTATCCGTGGAGTCAATACTGTCAGCGTCCAAACTGGTCAGCCCCACCACGAACTTCATTTTTGGTAAATACACAGACAAATCCGGTAAGTTCGTACCACTTTGTATTTGTTCCTGTACTATTTTCAAACTATAGATATTCCGCCATGAGTGATCATACTCCTAAGATCATCCGTATTCGCTCAACTACCAAAACTAATCAGCTCGTACTATTTTGGCCGGATGATGCTGAATCATGCTCTCAGATAGTTGAGTCTCATTTTAGTGAACATGGGTTAACTGACCAACATTCACATTTCCTTGCAGTTGTCCACGCCCTATCGCGGGAATTCAGCAAATGCGTAACTGTGCATATGTCGGATCCTGTAGTAAGTAACTCGCATGAGTTACTTAAAGCAACCCTCCTAAAGAGAAACGATCTCACGGATCGGAAGCGTGTTGATAAACTATTGCGCAACGTGGAGTGAGGTGAATAGTCAGCTGTGAGCATACTAACAAGAATGAGAGAAGTTATTGGCTAACGTCAGTTCAGTGAAAGACTTTTCAGAGAACTGGTCTTATCCAACTGCCACAGTCAGCACAGGCTATGCTGGTGACACTTCAGGGTGTTATCATAGACGACTTAGCTGTTTCTGCAGAAAAATTCCAGAAATAAAAAACGGCCAGTTACTGAAATATGCTCAGTTGCTGAACAGACTTCGAGTAGGGACACTGCAGTGATAGAGTTATGCAACTCCGTCCAGCAGCTACTTAGATCAAACATACCTTATAATTCCTTGTATCTTCGTGCAAACGGCAAAGTTAAACTTTAGACACCAGTAACAACCAATCAGCAAACGACCTTGAACGGACCAATCACATGAAAGAGGCGTTTGTGATAAGTGATAACGTATATTTATAGAAAAATGCATAAAAAATAGGATAAAACAGTTACAACGGGTATCTTTCGCGAACATGGGACAGAAACATTTCCCAATTCAGCATCGGACTGTCAATAGAAAAGTCGCACCACATTCTGTACATATATTCATTTAAATGACTATAAATGAGATCCTTCTGGGATCCGTTTATAACCCTTATCCGATTTTTCAAGCGGCCCCAAAATCCTTCAATTGAATTCGTATGAGTCCCAGTAACAGGATCCACGAAATCATTTGAGTGGTTCACTCTATGGTGTATGTAACCCAGAGATGACAATGAATCATAGCCTTTCCACTCGTCCGTATGCACAATTGATTCCCTTTTGACAAGTCGAGTTACAAAAGGTATCAAAGTGCTCGCCTACCTGTCTCCTATTCTTTCAACAAACCCTTTTCGAAGGGACGTGTCGTATAAACCGATAGCCCAAATGTTGTTTGCTCTCCGACGACCACGATTATATTTCTTCTTTACCAACACTGTCTCATCCACATGCACTACTACATCCTCCCCGCCCAACAACGAAGTGATCTTCTCCATTTTCCAAGAAGCAATATCTCTGCAATCCTGGTAGCATTGAACTGTTGAGATGAGGCGGCTGGAGCTCTCACTGGCTGTTTCAATACCCAGTAGTTGCAGATATATAAAATTTGCGTCAACGAGAGGTGTGACCTTGCAAAAAAGGTTCCTACGAAATAATAAAATTATCAACTTACCCTCTTTAATGCTAACACGCTTGGAGCATATAGCACAACGATGGACAAATCCATCAATTGACCTAATATAGCTTTTTAAGGCCATGATACCCCCACACAAACAAGTTCGCTCCTTCCGGAGAAACCCTAAATCCAGACAATACTGGAAAACAGTGTCCTCCTCGAATTGCAAACGTGACCTTGTAAGGGCACGCATATGAAATGAATCAAGCGCTATACAACATTGAACTGCGTTCGTGAATCTCATTGGATAAATCGACGTCGTTCGCTGATTGGTAGTTACTGGTGTCTAAAGTTTAACTTGGCCGTGCAAACTCCCCTAAACGGCGACACTTACATGGTCGGTCTAAACCCAAGCCAAATTCACTAAAAAATCCTGACTGGTGTTGGTTTCACAATACCTATGGTCAGGAAACGAAATGTTACCGAAAACCTTGTAATTTCAGCAATATTAGAACAAGACATATAAGCGAACAATATTGTTTTCAATTAGATCTTCTTCAGGCTTTACTCTAATTTACATAGATTTATATATAAAATTTTAACCAATGACGGTGATTTTGGGAATCAAATAATAATCTTAATAGTCTTAATAATAATAATAATAATATGTGGTAAATGTTTTGAACATAGTTAATAACGATGATTATAATGATAACAAAATATTGATAATAAGGCTTATGCAGGTGATAAGAATAACAAAGATAGTATATGTATATAAGTGTATAAATAAATTGGGTCAAATCTTAAAAGGTGAAGTGGAACGATAATCAGAGTTTAAATAAATATTATAAAAGTACAAAGGAGGTGGAAAATAAGAAAGGGTGGGAGGGTTTTGAATACAGTTCACCTAGGCCAAGGGAGAGACAAAGGTAGAACAAACTTCTTTTGTATGCAAAGACTAGGATTGTTCTCTCGAATTCCCATAGCTTCGGCTAGGTGTAAAAGACGGTTTCTGATTCCATTCGAAAGACTCGATGGAATACGATAGATAACTTTGAAAGCACTATTTTTGTCCACTTGGTGACCGCTATCAATCAAATGAGCCAAAATAGAACTTCGTATGGATTTTATTTGACCTTTTCCGAACCATGAAGGAAGATGCTCATTAATGCGTTTGTTCAGCTGTCTAGTTCTTCGCCCTATATAGCTTTCTCCACAGGAGCAACTAAATTTATAAATACACATCGAAGTGGCACAACTAGGTAGCTTATCTTTCACTTGAGCAATCAAGATGTAGCGTCACTGTTTACCAATGTACCACTTATGGAGACTGTGGATTTCATATGCCAACAGATACTAGAAAAGCAGATTGACATCGGAATTCCAGTTATTAGTCTGAAAGAGCTGCTTTTAAGATGTACTATGAATGTACATTTCTTATTCAACAACCCTTACTACAGGCAAATCGACGGTATTGCCATGGGTTCTCCATTGGGGCCAATTTTGGCAGATTTCTTTCTAGCCAAGATTGAAAATGGTCCACTGAGACAAGTAATAGAGGAAACTGATTCTTATTTTCGTTATGTTGATGATACGTTCATTATTCTTGATGTGAAAACTGACAAGAATGTAATGTTAAAAAAGTTTAATGATGCACATCCATCGCTCATCTTCACGTGTGGAGAAGAACATGATGGTGGATTACATTTCCTTGACGTCCAATTGAGCAGAAGAGAGGATGGTTCACTCAAGAGAGATATCTATAGAAAACCTACATCTGTAGGACAATGTACACATTTCCTCAGTTTTGTACCAATCCGATATAAAATCAATTTGGTCAGGTGCCTTACGAATAGAGCAAGACGTATTTGTACAAATGATTCCCTAGAAAATGGGCCAGGATACATTCAAAATACGCTGGTCCAAATGGGTTATCCTAGTAGATTTGTTAGGAGACACATGAATACCAGGTACAACAAAGAAAAACTGACAACAGTTAAAAAGAAAGAACTGTTCATGAAACTTCAATTTAATGGGGACGTGGCTAGTGAAGTCTTACATCTGAGATTATCGAGAGCGATAAAACGGACTTATACTGCCGCCACCCTTTGTTTGTCATTTTCCAGCCGACCAATTTTGATTGCTCAAGTGAAAGATAAGCTACCTAGTTGTGCCACTTCGATGTGTATTTATAAATTTAGTTGCTCCTGTGGAGAAAGCTATATAGGGCGAACAACTAGACAGCTGAACAAACGCATTAATGAGCATCTTCCTTCATGGTTCGGAAAAGGTCAAATAAAATCCATACGAAGTTCTATTTTGGCTCATTTGATTGATAGCGGTCACCAAGTGGACAAAAATAGTGCTTTCAAAGTTATCTATCGTATTCCATCGAGTCTTTCGAATGGAATCAGAAACCGTCTTTTACACTTAGCCGAAGCTATGGGAATTCGAGAGAACAATCCTAGTCTTTGCATACAAAAGAAGTTTGTTCTACCTTTGTCTCCCCCTTGGCCTAGGTGAACTGTATTCAAAACCCTCCCACCCTTTCTTATTTTCCACCTCCTTTGTACTTTTATAATATTTATTTAAACTCTGATTATCGTTCCACTTCACCTTTTAAGATATGACCCAATTTATTTATACACTTATATACATATACTATCTTTGTTATTCTTATTACCTGCATAAACCTTATTATCAATATTTTGTTATCATTATAATCATCGTTATTAACTATGTTCAAAGCATTTACCAAATTATTATTATTATTAAGACTATTAAGATTATTATTTGATTCCCAAAATCACCGTCATTGGTTAAAATTTTATATATAAATCTATGTAAATTAGAGTAAAGCCTGAAGAAGATCTAATTGAAAACAATATTGTTCGCTTATATGTCTTGTTTTAATATTATAAATGGGAATATTTAAAGATTTGAAATTTCAGCAATGTCTCAAAGCCTGTGGGAAACTATCCCGCCGGCACGCGTTGGTGGCAACTGTCGCCGGTGGCACTAGTTGCTTAATTTTCATTCGTGATGTGATCAGCCAGACTCGATATTTTTCGACACCGGCGCCGAAATCAGCGTCCTTCCTGCTACAGCAGCAGATCGACAGAGGGAACCTACCTTCTACTTACAGGCTGCAGATGGAAAACCAATTGCAACCTTTGGTAGGAAATACGCCTATCTGAACGTAGGTTTACGCAGACTTATTCAGTGGATTTTCCTCCTTGCTGACGTCACAATGCCTATCATTGGTACGGACCTACTTAATAATTATGGTCTATTCGTAGATGTTCGTCGAAAAAGACTGATAGATGGTACCACTAGACTGTGTGTTAAAAGCACCACCTAAGTAGGTCACAACTTGTCATTGGCTAAGAAGAAGACTATCTTTGATTCAGCTTTTCGGCCGATTGCTGACAATTGCCCGGAACTTAATAGCCCGTCTAACGATCTACCGTGCATAACCAGCAATGTTATGCATCACATCATCACCTCGGGACAACCTGCGACATCCAGAGCTCGATGACTTGCTCGTGACAAACTACGACTCGCTAAAAATGAGTTCGACCATATGCTCACCCTTGGCATCATTCGGCCATCGAATAGCCCATGACATCTTCACTGCATATGGTACCGAAAAAAAGATGGCAACGATTGGCAACCCACTGGTGATTACCTGTGAGTGAACGCCAAAACAACCTCTGATTGCTATCCAATGCCTCACATGCACGACCTGATGGCAACATTATTTGGCGCAACTATATTCTCGAAAATAGACTTGGTTAAAACGTATAGCCAAATCCCGATGGCACCAGAAGATATTCCGAAAACGGCTATTATTACGCTTTTCGGACTTGGATTAGCATTCGAAAAGCTACACCTACATGGTGTTACCATTTATATTCAGAAGCGTCAGAAAGGATTTTCTTGGCAGAACCACTGACTGCGAGGGTGTCCGCCCATTGTCTAATAAAGTTTAGGCGATACTGAACTTTATGAAACCAGATACGGTGAAAAATCTTCGCACCTTTAACGGCTTGGTAAGTTATTACTGACGCTTTATTCCCAACTGTGCTTCTCTGATTCAGCCACTAAAAGACCTTCTCCGAGGGAATAACGAGTCCATCAAACTTGACGCGTCTGCTCATAATGCTTTCACTGAGGTTAAAAAAGCTCTCCCGGATGCCACCCTTCTTATGTTTCAGGATCCAGCAGAGCCGTTAAGCATCGCCTTTGATGCGTCAGACACAGTAATCGGCGCAGTTCTGCAATAACAAGTCAACAGAGAGTGCCAACCACTCACTTTTTTCTCGAGGCGCCTACAGTTGGCAAAAAAGAAGTACAGCACATTCGGCAGAGAACTTCTGGCTATATACTGTGCTATACGTAATTTTCGACATAGAGTGGAGCGTCGTTAATTTATAATTTTCACTGACCACAAACCTCTGACTTACTCTTTGAACTCAACTTCAGCTAATTACTCACGTAGAGAATCACGACAACTGGACTACGTTTCTCAGTGTACATTGGATATTCGCCATATATCCGGGGTGAACAACACTGTAGCAGATGCCTTGTCGCGCATTTGTTCCTTCACTCAAATATTTTATTTTTTGATTATAGCTTGATTCCACACAGTATTTTGGTACAAGTATGGAATTTTCAGCATGCGATATCGGTATCCCAAAGTTAGCAGGCCGACTATAGGTATCAGGTGTGCTTCGGCGGGGTCGAACCCCGGACCATGTACATGGTCGGCGAGAGTCCTGACTGCTCTGCCATCGGCGCACAGATGGCATAGACCTTATGGCACTGGCTCGTTTTAAAAAAGAAGATACCGAGCTGCAACATGAGATGTCGGAAACAACTCTGAAGTTAGTGCAGAAACCCTTAGGCATAAGAGACACTATTCTGTATGACATTTCCACGAGTACTGCCCGCTCCATCGTGTCTAAAAGTTATCTCGGTAACGTCTCTAGTACGTTGCATTGCTTATCCTACCCAGGTATTAGAACTGTCGTCAAGCTCATTACTGGTCAGTTTTGTTGGCCTGGTATTAATAAAGAAGTAAGGGATTGAGCTCGTACGTGCGTAGCTTGACAAAAGTGCAAGGTAGTAAGACACACCAGAAGCCCTTTTGGCATGTTTCTTATCCCTGATGCCCGTTTCGAACACGTTCATATAGATGTGGTTTGGCCCCTCCCAGAATATCATGGATATACCTATATCTTAACGTGCATTGATCGTTTCACCCGGTAGCCTGAAGAAGTACCCTTCAAGGATGTAGCTGCTGAAACAGTCGCACGCGTCTTTGTCGAACGATGGATAGTAAATTTTGGATGCCCATTCTCCATATTAACTGATCGCGGGTGGCAATTCGAAGGCGGCTTATTCTTCACCTTGACTAAAATCATAGGTTGTATGCGTTTTAGAACAACAACCTACCATCCATCCTCAAGCTAATGGTATGGTAGAACGTCTGCACCGGCAGTTGAAAGCTGGGTTATCAGTTGCAAACAATGCACATTGGACTGAATCACTACCATTAGTTCCCTCTCTTAGGCATACAAAATTCCTTGAAAATTGATGCTGGTTGTCCTGCTGCCGAGCTAGTATGTGGCACACCACTACGATTGTCAAGTGATTTGGCTCTTCATCTAGCTTGCCACCAGCTGTAGATCAACAGGCTTGCAAACGCGACGCGCTTGGCTAAACCTGCTCCCCTCTGACCACAGTCCATAAACGTCTTTGCTCACCCGTGTTTGAAAACTTCTTCACATGTATTTGTTCGTCATGACTCTGTGCGCTACCCTCTAAAACCCTCATACGACGAACCATTTAAATCCTTAAACGTATGGATAAATTCTTTGTCCTAGATAAAAAAGGCCGCGACGACACCGTTAGCATCGACTATCTGAAACCGGCCTACTTAGAAGGCAATCCCATCAGCCTTGAACTAAGCACTCCCAATAACACACATGTAAACGAATATATGCTAGTCCTCGAAGAAATCACTAGTATGGCAAAGGAACCCGAACCTTCTAGCGAGACCCCGAAGAGAATGCGTTCTGGATGAACCGTAGGATTTCAAGAATATCTTCAAGCCTATCTCACATAGCAAGATGATGCACTCACCCAATTTACCGCGATTGTGGTATTATTTTTTGCTGTCGGGCACATAAATATTTTTCAGTGCATCCCTCAAAATAAGTAGTAAATTTTTAATGTCCACGCATCAAAAAGAAATTCAGTTTTTTCGATGTTCTATTTTTCGCATGAATTTTCTGTATGGTAGATATTTACCATTATTTAAACGTTATGTTTTCTACGTTTTCCTCTATATGTTACTCAGAATTCTTATTTTCTTTTCCAGGCGCGACGGGCACTGGACAAAAAGCAAACGAAGTAAAAGATCCAACGGACGAACTTTAACGGAGCGATGTACATGCATCCAATTAGTATAGGTAGACGACCTGCAGGCAATCCGTCAAGCCGATCGGAAGAGCCTTACTGACGGTGACACCATTCCCTAGAAGTATTAGCCATGGCATTCATCACTGAACATTGGATGCTGACCCCTATTGTTTAGGTCGACTTGCTGAAGTCTTACGGTCAAGTGTCCACACCACTCGGTGCACCGCCGTGTTACGTTCATGCACGATTGCTTACTAGTTAAGCAATCAACCTTGCACTCCAATTAGGTCACGAAATATAACTCGTAATTTGGACGATCAATTTTGGTGTTTTGCTTTTCCTTTGGTCTACGCGGAACGAATATTATGGAAGTTGTGTGTATTAGACCTTGCGTTAGTATACTTCGTGCTATCCGTGGACGTCAATACCGTCAGCCTCTAAACTGCTTTACTGTATCTTTCATCATTGTGAATATCCACATTTATGGAGTGATTAGTGAATTGTGTAGCTGTCATTGTATGGATATGCGCAGATCATTAGTCTGACTATTTGAAATTGTTTTTTTCGCACCCAACCCTTCTCAGAATGCTGGCGGACTTTTTGTTTTGGTTATTTCGGACCCTATTATTCTTGAAGAAATTCGTCAGCGGTACATATTAGTAATGGCATAGTTAAGGAGCAAGGATCTTAATGAAGTGTTTTAGAATGACCCTGAGATGTGCAATTCGAGTTTACATTGGAATTAAGGCAGCTGCAACGGATAAGTCATGGAATAAGTACTTCACGGTCTACCGTCTGTTCATGCTTATGTAGATGATCTAAACGTTGCAAGTAAATCAAAAGCTGAACACCTAGTGCATCTGTGAATGTATTTTAAACGACTAATTGTGGAATGGTATTATTTCTAATCCACAAAGGTGTGAATTCGACGAAGAATCACTTCAGCTTTTGATTGTCTATTAGAAAACTTTTCATTCATTAGCAGATTTGTGTCACCTAAAAGTAGGATGGTGGCCCAATAGTAGAATGCTTTCCAGACATATAGGTGAGTCGGGTGAATTCACGCATGATGGGGTCTTAAATATCACCTAGTTTACGAACCGAAAATTAAAGCCGGAAACAGGGGAAGTCGGGTGTGAGGTTAGAAGTTCCACCCTGCGAAAACGATACCACCAATACTGTAACTTCAAAGCTTGAAACTCGAAGTTCCGTTTCTGTTAGGAATGTATGGAATAAAAAATTATATGTCACCCCACAGTTGGCTAATGATTTCAAAATGAAGTGTTTTCACCGGTTTCCTGTTTAAAGATATTATACGGAACTGTCATGCATACACACATAACACCTATTGTTTATTCATGTTTCTTATTACACCAAATGCTGCGATTTACTCATAGAACCAACCTTAACCCAAAAAGTAAGTATGAATTTTTAGGAATGTATAATGTCAGGACAGTTCAATTCAAAAAGGCACAAACACAACAAACTATATTTAATCAATCAGTCTGTAGTAAGACAAACAAAACAAACATTCAATTATAAAATGAATATTACTTTCAAATATTGCACATCCACTCACTAAAACGTGACAATTGTATCTGCAGACATTGTGTTGAATTCTTTTATGGTCTCAGAAACTTGAGTAGTTTGTTGATTGTTCTATAAACAAAACCAAACATTCAGCTATTAGAAAAATATCTACACGTACACAATACTAACAGGAGAGCAGTAATACTGTAGTTCTTATAGGACCAATAAAATAGAGTTTTTCTAAAAAGATAGTCAATCAAAAACAGATTCAATGTTACATTGTGGGGAAAATATGAAATGTGTTGCTTATAAGTAAAAAAAGTAGTGTTAGAATGAAAGCATAAAAGAATGCAAAAGTAACAAGTAATTAAACACGAATGAAGTAAAGAAAGAATTAAAACTCTCTTAGCTTAGCTCAAAAACTCCTTCCTAACATGACATAGAAACGGTACAACTTACATTCAATAAACTTATACTAGCTAGTCAGAGATATGAGCTCCTAAAGTCTTTGTCCTCATTAATACTTGAGGAAAACTATTTGCCAGAGGGTTTGTGGTAACAAATTACTAATCCTTAGACTTCTGCCAGCACATTATTCGTCCTTTAGTTATAGTTCAACGATGTCCTTACGTTATCAAAGTGTATGAAATATATTCAGAAAATAAAATGCATTCATTCTTAAATTCCCTAAATTTCTCGTCAGACTCCTGAATATAGACACAATGAGTGAGTTAGGGATTTCGTGAGGGTAACATAATTTCCCTTAATAGAATTATCCGGCCTGTTAAAGTGAATTATTACGTCTGTTAGTTTCCTCGTAATCATTATAAACCTAGATACTTAAATTAAGACAGTTAATGTACATCATTCAAACCAAGACATAGGTATTTGGCTAACTACCTACCACTTAGTAGGACAAAGTGTTTGAAAAAGATTTGTATGATACGTAAACTCCTGGTGAATAGTTTAGCTCGGTGAGCAATGAAAATGACTTAAGATATCAGCTGTAAGCTATTTGTGTAAAGACAGCAAATGTACAAAATAATATCCAGTGAATAACAAATTCACGCCTAAATACGCAAAAACAAAAAATATTTTATTATTATTATAGCTTGACTCCATACAGTATTTTTAATACAAGTATGGAATTTTCAGCATGTGATGTCGGTAGCCCAAATTTGGCAGGCCACCCATTGATATCAGGTGTGCGTCTGCCGGGGATCGAACCCCGGACCATGTACATGGTTGGCGAGCATTCTAAGCGCTCCAGTTATTTAGAACTAATATTTAACGAAAATGAAACAAAATATAGTTACGATACACAAAGTTTTGCTGTAAACAATTGATTCAATGAATAAACAAACACAAATAGATGCAGTAACCATGACCTGGAAATAAGTGAACCGGTACACAATGAAGTAAATAGGTAGATATAAGTGATTAAATAATAAAAAAAACCGTAAAAATAACTTATAATAAATGAATCAGTCATATTTTTACATTTCAGTTTGAATCAAGTGAATTCGCCGAAAAGAGACTCTTTGCTGAACTACTGGTCTTCTGTCTATTAATATTCGAATGGGAATTTTTAATGAGTCAAAATATCAACGCGGTTTTTATGCATTCTGGTAGTTGTTCAGGTATTCTAGAATGTTGAGATTTATTTCTGCTTTATCGGCTTACCATCTATGAATTCCTGATAAGGAAATTTTTGAAATACAAGCTGTTTGAAGGGGAAGACTTGAATTTTTAGAGTCCATCATTACCCTTTTGAAAAACATTTCTTTTATGCACTTATTTGGATTTGGATTCTTCATTTGTTGATTATTCAAATTTTTCGTCTATTTCCACTGCTATGAAACAGAAGCATAACCTTTTTATGTAGCCTCATGAATACGATTGTGTCTAGTAATAATTGCTGCTGGTCAACATGTTCTATCACTTCACTCCCTATCACTAAGCTATGAGTTGGCGTAGTCCAGTCATTCCTGTAGCAGCATCTTACATTTTACAGGGGCGAATCGCATGCGAAACATACGAGGATTGCTGCTCAAGGTGTTCAGAAGACTCTGCATTTTGTCAGCGTCCTCCCCTAACAGGACTATGTCGTCTGCGTATTCTAAGTCTATAAGACTATTCCCTGGTAACAAGTCGATTCCTAAGTCGTTAAGTTCAGTTAAGGTTACTTCCATTAGCATATCTATGATGAAGTTAAACAGAAAAGGGGAAAGTGGACATCCTTGACGGACACCACTGGTTGTTATCAATTCAGATGACAATTCCTCATAAGCCCTTACATAGCTATGTGAGTTTGAGTAGAGTGCCTTGATTAGTGCAATGTACTTTCTTGGCACTCCCTTCTCAGTCAAACATTGCCATAGTACCTCTCGATCCACGGAGTCGAAGGCCGCCTTCAAGTCAAGAAATATGGCAATTGTTGGACGCCGAAAAGTGTGTCTATGTTCTAGGATCTGTCGGAGAGTGAAGATATGATCTATGCACCCTCTACCTGGCCTAAAGCCCGCTTGATTTTCCCTCGTTTGTTCCTCCCGAGTTCGGCTTAGTCTGTTCATGATTACTGAGCCTAGGATATTAGAGACTATGTTCGTTAGGCTGATTCCTCTATGATTATCACATGAGGACCCTTCTTGAATATCGGTATGATAAGTGACTTACCCCAGTCTGATGGAACCGTCTCTGATTCCCAGACGTTACCTAGTACCTTAGTTAAACTATATACTAGTATGTCACCTCCGGGATAATTCCGTCGGGTCCTGCCGCTTTGCCTCGTTTCAAATTACAGATAGCTTTGGTGACCTCACTTACAAAGGGCGGGCCAGTGTCTATATCCCATTCGGGTGTGTGCTGGATGACGGGGAGGCTCAGTGTGGCTGTAGGCAAGTTAAATTGTTCCTCAAAGTGTTCTTTCCAGCGTTCGAGGCGTCTATCCTGAGAGCTAATTAAGGAGCCATTTTTCTCTGAAATAGTCTCACTTATGATTTGCCTTCTCCCACCCGTTTCCCTGATGAGTCTAAAGAGTTGCCTAGTGTTGCCTATCGCCGATGCTTTTTCCATCTCTTTCGCCTTTGTCAACCACCACTGTTCACGGTCCTTGCGGAGACTTTTCGTAAGTTTCCTTTTGTGCAGCTTTCGCTCCTCATTGAATTCGGAGCTCGCCGGAATAAGTCTTCTAGCATCTATCAGTTCGGATGAGGCAGTCGAAATCCAATGGTTTTTACTCACCTTTGGATTTCCCTTATTCACAGCTTTTACAGCTGTATCTATGGCTGACTGAATATTCTTCCAGGCTTCTTCAGGTTGAGCGCAGCTGTCGAACTCAGATATGTGTTTAGCTAGTTCTTCCTCAAATAGGGACTTAGTTTCCTGATCGAGCTGGGGACGTGATGGGTTTATCGCCAGCTGTTTCCTACGTCCGTTCAGTCGTAAGCATACACGAGCGCGGACCAGTGCGTGATCGGTATCTACACACGTGTTCCAGAAGGAGTGACAATCTCCTACCGACCCACACCAACGATAGCTCATTGCTATGTGGTCCATTTTTGTCCAGCGTTAGTCAATACATACTGCAGGATTCCCAGCAAGTTTTATTTCAGAGTATTTTTTCCTTGTGTAGGATCTTCAGTTAAATTAATAATCGGTAGTAATATATTACTTAAAGCAGTATTGTTCTATTCAAAGCACACCCTAATAACTTGCTATGCTTTTTCTTTATTTCCTCCGAAAAGTCCAATACCAGTAGGTTGAAACATATTTGAAAATGATCGTCAACACAGATTGTGATTCAAGGTTATAATTGGATAATCAACCGTAAGGAGTTATGCTATGTTAAACAGGCTGTCAAGTCGCGCAAATACGTTGTCATGAATATGAGCAATAAATTATTGGTCGAAAAGTCATTCAATTATTAGTACGGTATCAATGCGAGTTGTATGAAATAAACTTTCATTAGTAAATTTAGGATGCTTTTTCGACAGCAATACACAATTTTCAGCATATTTTATGCCTTTGATTCATATTTTTTCAAAGATGATGTTTAAAGGATATTGTACTTTGAAAAACAAAGGTATGCAACTACTAGACCCATTTGACAGTGAAAATCGACAACACCTTCAAGTAGTCCATTCAGAATTATTTAACTGACTTATATAAGTTATTTTTAATCTTATGTCAACAATGTTTTTCCCCTTTATTTGTCGCTTGAATTTTAGCCCTTTTTAAAACACCCATTTGACTTTTCTCTCAATCCAATTTTATGGGTCGCGTATATTAAAATAAAGGTAGAACTTGATAAATCTTCTTCAATCAATGATTATCCTTAAATTTCTTTAACATGATCATTTTTCTCGTCATGGTTACAGTCTACCAGAGTAAATGATGAATTTAATACTATGCTGCATTTTAGAATTCCTAACAGATTCAAAATAGATGAATTCGTGTTCTGTGTGTCTGTGTAAATGAGTATAGCGTACTAAAGATGATTTCGATTATGATGCTGCAGTGTAACGACAGAAGACAAAGGCCTGGCAACAGATCGTTTATTGAGAAAATCAACAGATATTGATAGATTTTTATGTACATTTTTATTCTTTATTATTAGCAGGGAAACAGCGTCTTCTGATTGGTTGTTTTCTTGCTGAAAGTTAATCTGTCATCTCTTTGTGGCCGTTTCTTTGAAGGTCAGACCATATATCTACTAATTGTATCCGCCCACGCAAAGTCTGCTGTTATTGGTTGTTGAGTTAGTCTTTGTTCTTTCTTTTTTCTTCATGACGTCAATTGCTGTCTACCAATTTTGGCTAACACACAGCGCTCATCAGAATAGTACATCAACGTTTTTACGTTCTACTATGTGCTAACGCTGTACACGGTCAACGACGGACATTGCTTTATTAAGAAGCACAAGTGATAACTTGAAAAGATATATTGTTAAAGAAATTGAATTTCAAAAAGCGTGAAGCGAACGAAAAAGTGCGTAACCGCGTAAAATATATGTGTATAACAAACGAAAATCCATATTCAAGAATACAATGGTAAATATTCAACCAGCATAAGTAAAATTAGTTTCTTTAAGCCTATAACATGCTTACGTGGATTAGTATGGTAAGCGTACAGTTAGGCTTAATATAGGGGTGCTACATAATTCCACCACCAGGACAATGAATATAAATATATTAAATAATAAAGTGTTCAACAGTAATATGAGTTTGCGTAATAAGTAGTAGCGATATTGCATAGAAATCTGTTAGTGTATTAAGCTGAAGAATACGCAGTTTAATCCTGAGTTATGAAAAAAAGTCGACGGACAGTTGTTAATATTAATAGTAAATGAACTAAGGACAATTGAACTGACAATTATAACAGAAAATATGTGGAATGATGAAAATCAGCTGGCGATCCGTAGACTTAAGACAAAAACGATATGTAAGTAGTAATCATTACACGACTAAATGCAATTATGCAAAGAAAAATCGTCGGTCTCTAAACAATAGCAATGTGTACTATGTATGAAAATGTCAGTGACGTGGATGAGCAGTTATATGTTATATGTCTTGGAAGTCGTCAATAAACGTTGGTTTGACTCTGACGACGATGATGTCTTCTGCTTTATTCGATCGTTCTACCGTGATAACTTAGTCATTCCTCTTTAGAACTCTAAATGGACTATCGTAAGCAGGTTGCAGTGGTCGTTGTACACCATCCTTTCTGACGAAAACGTGAGTGCAATTTATCAGCTGTAGCGGGATGTATAATGGTCGTTACTGCTGTCGTAGGAGTGATATTTTTAGCTCATTCATGTGTTGCTTTAGTAGATGCACGTAGTCAGTTAAATCACTTGGAACATGATTATCTGAGGTAAAATACTCTCCTGGTAACTTTAGTGTTGTCCCGTAGACTAACTCGGGAACACAGCATCCGATGTCTTTCTTTAAAGTTCAAGCAGTACCAGTGGGAGTTTGGTGAGGCAGTCATTTTTGGTCAGAGAGGCAGCAAGCGCACTCTTAAGTTGCCCATGAAATCGTTCAACTATCCCATTTGAAATATGGTGATACGAGGTCTTTCGTATTCGTTTAATTCCCAATAATTCGATGGGCCATTGAAAAAGACGGCTTTCGAACTGTGCATCTCTATCTGTAGTACAATTGACGAAAGACCAACGTTTGCTATCCATTTTTTGACCAGAGCTTTAGCAACTGTTTTGGCGGATATGTCTGCTAGTCAGTCTATCGGTGCAAGTGAAAATGTAACTGAAACCAACGGAGGGAGGCAGTGGATAAACGATATCTATATGTATGTGGTCACATCTTGAGTCAAGGTTAGGGAAACGACCAAACGGTGCACTGCTGTGACGATGAATCTTGACTCTTTGATAAGACAAACAATTTCGCGTCCACTTCTAAGCATCGCTGTTTATGCCTAGCCATATAAATCTTTCCTTCAGCTGCTTGCTAGTAGCACTGACTCTGGGATGTGAGAGATTGTGCAGTTTCTCCAAAATTATTCTCCCTACTTTTGGGTGTTACTTCAAGCAGCATTACCATTTACTTTCTTCCACTTTATTCGTTAGTATCAATATAGATTTCGTCACGAATCAAAATTAGTTAGAGATCATTGGAAAGGAGGGAGTACTGGACAGCTGTTTCGCCCTAGTCGTAACCAAAATCTCCCATTATCTGACTATCAATTTCCAGCTCACTGATGATTACTGGATCGATTTCCTGAAGCTGCAGAGAGAAGTTGTGACCATTGGGGTCCACTATGGCAAGCTGAAGTGGATGTTAATCCAGGGGCATTGGTTGAGGGTAGTGCTATATCATGAATTGACAAATTTAGAGTTCACAGGACATTGAATTCTAGCCCAGGTAACTGAATGGTCAACGAGCTTGATCACTTAACTGAAGATCCCAAATTCGACCCATTGAGGGGTGTTGTGGGTGTGCACTGTGAAGAGTTCCAGAATTGGACGAAGCAACTGTCAATGATCTCTAAGTGGTATTGTTTTGTGAACAAATCTACATTGAAATTAATCCAGATCTCCACAAAAATCCATAATCCAAATACTTATCATTAATTTTGTAATTGTGATTTATTCGTATCTAGTATTTAACTGAGTGTTTGTATTATTGTTACTTGGAAACGCATAGTATCTTTTTCTGGAATGAATGCTTATTATGTGACCTAGCCTGAAGTTATATCGTCCTATATGAAATGTAGAAACTTGTAGATTGTTAGTCACCAGTGTCTTTCGTGAGCTCTTAGTGCTTTTAAATTTTCACAAGATCACTGAGAACCTGAGTAACTGATTCTAAAACTATTAGGTGGTTGGAGGCAATCGTCTGGAAGCCTTCAAACTAGGTTTCGTATTAGTTGTTACTCGTCAGCAAGACGTATCTACAGCCCTGAAGGAACCCGTGTCCATTCTGAGATTCGAAATGTGCATCACTCAGTCAGAGACATTACCACTGAGCTAATCAGACTCACGATTGACCTGCTGTAGGATTGTTGTTGCCTTCAACCATCTAATATTAAAATTTCAAAGTGCACCGTGATGGCGAGCCACCTAGAATGCTGGCCACATTGCAAACCTGACTGACAGAACTCAGCCTGCACCAAAATAAGGGCTAGACACACTACACCAGTTACTGACTAGTGTTCAATCAAATGATTCTAAAACTTCATGTCTGAAAGACTAAATAGTGAAGACTCAGATGTTTCAAATAAGGGTCAAAAAAGTTTTATGACTACTTAAACTGCGCGTTGATTCTTCATTTAATTATTATTATATTTTCATTATTCCTGGTGGAACATACAGCAACAACAGTACATGTCCACTTCATCCTGTTTTCTTAAGTCGTCTTTATCTGGCTCCATGATTGCCCGTTACCTGTCATCTCCCCTTCAGACAATTTCCTCCATGTCACACTCGAAGTGACGCCCAACTCGTCATTTCCGCCTTGGGATCCACTCGAGGGCTGGCGCGTGAAGTCAGTCAGTCAACGGTCTTATCAGCATGTGTCCGATTCATCCTCAACTACTCTGACGTATTTGCTGGGTAACAGATTCTCATTGCCAGAGTTACTTATTACTTATCCCTTAATTAATACCATCTTGCTGTTTGAAATTACTGATTAATTTCAAAATAAAATAAGTTAATAATAAGTTTAGAAATATATTTATGTACATAGAAATTGTTTAAATGTCAAAGACAAGTAAATTTAAACAAATTCTTGTTTTATGTACAACAATTAAAAAACAAAACAAAAACTGACAATTGAAATGTATAGAAGAAATATTTGTTACTCTTATCCTTTTTTTATTTACTTTATCAAAATAATAATAATCCACAAACTTGTTTTAATTTCTGTAATGCCATGCCATTTATTGTTTGATCGATTTTCTGTTTTTCTCTTTCGAACTCATTTTATCTTAAAAGATTAAGATCTTAGTCGTATTCTTTTCCTGGACCAGTTAGCCATTGCTCTTAGTGTTGTTTGTGTTGTAGATCCGTGTTCAATGATACTATGAGATACTCGATAAGTTGGTCTATAGGCCAGTGTTTTTAATCGCATATTATTTGATACTTTTCCTTTTGACATTCTCTTTTGACTTGATGGCACTTGTTGCGTTCGCGTTACTTCATTTGCAGGACGCACTGCCTGTAGGAATGAATAAATAAACAATAAATAAAGAAGACAGGTGAATAAATATGTATGTATATTGTCAGTTTAAACAAATTTTATTTAAAAATTGAAATGTTTATGCATACTTAAGTTAAATTTTTAAATACCTTGACTGCTTTGCAGTATATTATCGAAATATATATCATTATTTTCAAATGTGAGTTTATCAAAATATAATTGATTTCAAGTTTGATAAGGAACTGACCTGAAAATTAACCCATTGTTCACTAGTGACTGACGACTACAGGATGAAGTGACTCAAAGTCCTAGTGACCTTTTGTGGCTAATAGGGTCCACCAAGTTGATTTTGAAGACAAATAGTCACCAATGACATTGGCTTGTGGTTGTGGTATGTATAGCAAATATATAGAGGTCAGAATTCATGGGCCACTGGGTTACGTCTCGGTGGATGAATGGTCGGTGGTCATGGGGTAGATCTCTGGTGGGATCATGGGTGAGTACTGCCGAGGAAGAGTCCCAAACAAGGACAAAACAGATGCCCAGTACTTGCTGGTTTTCGCTGGTTCTCTATCAGATTGATGATACAGGTAATTACTCACTGTTTTATTGCTTTTATCAAAAGAAGACTTAACGGCCGACTGACTTTCTGAAGGCTTTCATCCAGAGGCATCATCTTTCCTCAAATCGAAGAGTCCTTCGGATGTTATTTTATTTATTCTGTGTTTTGAAATTTCTGTAGCAATAGGGTGGTTTTTAGAGGGTACAGTTGCCAGTCCCACACCCAAGTTTCCATCTTTTCCAGGGTTAGGAACTGACAGTAAATAAGGTGGAGTTTCTGGTTTGCATAGGAAGCTAAATATTTTTTTCTCATTTACTTTTATTAGGTTTATCTTCTTTTATATTTAATATCTAATCGATGAAAATATTAAAGTGTAACTTAATTGGCTTAATTTTACGTCAGGCACGTCAAGCTTGTGTTATACTACTACAGGGTAATTCAGATACATCCATTACTAGCAATCATAATTATATCGGGATATCCGTCCGACGAGTTCATATAAAAAAGTGACGCTGTTCATTTGAGTTCATACATATCAACTTGCACCACAAATATAAATAAGTAATTTCAAATAATACCTGCTACATAAGAAGTGGATATCATGGCTAAATAGCCCAGGGAGCAAAACTCTGATGTTTTAAGTGATTATCTTTGGATTCGAACGTTTATGAGAACGTCATCACTCACTGAAGTACAGGGAAACCCATCTGACGAGTCCCGGTTAGGATGAAATGCTCATCCTTGATTCTTCTGACAGTCATCACTAAACAGTTCAGTGAACAAAAAATTTTCAGGACTTGTATTTAGGACAAACATAAAAGTGTTTTTTTCCTTCACGTTCCCCAGTGGAACACAGGGCTTCAAGCTAGTGGCTTGAAGTTTATGTAGCAGTGTTTATTTTCTACAGGATGGGGTCGCTAGCCTCATGCCCAACCTTTCCTCTTCACCAGAATTATTTCTGGCTTGGCGAGGTTAAGGAGTGCGTCTGTGGCCGGGGATCGAACCCCGGACCATGTGCATGGTCGGCAAGCGTCCTAACCGCTATACCACCGACGCACTTCTATACACGCCGGTAGGCACTCTCCCAATCCACGACTTAAAGTGCATCGTGATGGATGGAAAGCCGACCCTCGGACAGACGTGGCCACTTGATATCCCGTAGCCGTAATATGCGTTCAAGATGTCAATGTTCAAAGCAGTATGCAGTTCACATTAATTTACACAGTCGGCTGCACTCTTCATCGACGCACGAGCCGAGTGATCCACCGCTCAAAGTTGTGCTCCAGTAATCCTACACACCGGTTTCCCAGATGCATAGAACTAAAGGTTCGAGGCTGCAACCCGGGCGCAAGTCTACCAGGCCAATGTACATGCAGTCCAGCTTAAAACCAGGTGCATGCAGAGCAGCAAAACCCGTGAATGGCAAGTCAAACCGGATCGCTTAAACAGTGTCAGCGTTAATAAAATTGGAGTTTTTTTTTGGAAATTTGGTATAAAGTTACTATACTGCTACATGATTAGTTTTCTAAACAAAAGTGATTTCGCATAAATGAATTCTGAAAGTCAAACAAGCTCATTAGTTCAAATGTGCAGTGATTTTTTGAGATATCAGATATAGGTATATGAATTGATCGGTGTTTGGTAACAATACAGATATCTACTCCTCAGTGAGAGCCAAAATTCATGAATCACGTATCTTGTGGTAATCCGCTGAAGTGTTTGAAGTCGACCAACTTCTCTGTCTACCTTTAGTTTTTATCGATATTTTTCAACAAGTGATATCGATGACCTTAAGGAGACTCGTAATCTATGAATCAAGGAATGAGTGATTCGTGCAGACCAGTCTGGTTTTATTTTTATTTGCGTAGGCTCTGAGAGTCAGGAGTGATTAGAAATCACTGTTTGGTATTCACTTATCACACGAGTTACTTACCACCTTCCGTATCGAATCCTATTGGTAGCACTATCAACAGTGCTGGTCATATCAACCCATATCAAATTTAGGTGAATTTATTGAACCTAAACAATCATTGCCCTATCATTCATATCATATACATGTGAATATGTTTATTGGTTTGTCAGAGTAAGTTGAACTTTTGTCGACTTATATAATTGGTTTCCGATTTAGGTACTAGTCTGGCTGATTAAAATAATTATGTATATATATATATATACATATCATGAAAGTATATTTGCTTATCAGGGTAGTACCTTCAAATTACAAAACTTCTCGTTTATCGGTGAAGATCATTCCACAAATAGTAATATTTGAAAAATCAAATCAGTAAAAACACTTAAGTATTACAAAATTACTGGTAAATATTTATTCAGTGACAAATAAACTCCCAGTTAGATATGATGGAGAAGATTTGTAGCTCAGGTGGATGATTTTGATGTGGTTGTGTTCTCTGAGCCGGATAGTTAATTTGCGAAGCTTTCATCACCCTACTAGGTGACATCTTCAGCGCATACTTCAATTCGAAGTGAGCTTTTAGATTTCTCCACGAGTTTATTAACCATCTCTCCCAGTGACCTTGGACGTGATTGACAAAATTTATCAACCGATGAGAAAGAAACCTCAAGCACACTAAGGGGCAAAGTTCAAGTCAAAGAGATAATCAGTTCCAGTACAAGTAGCCTAGAAGGTGTGAAAACACACAAAAGCAACCAATCACGTCCAAGGTTACTGGGAGAGATGGTTAATAAACTCGTGGAGAAATCTAAAAGCTCACTTCAAATTGAAGTATGCGCTGAAGATGTCACCTAGTAGGGTAATGAAAGCTTTGCAAATTAACTATCCAGCTCAGAGAACACAACCACATCAAAAACTCCGAGTTAATTGATACATTCAATAGTCTCATGATACCCATAAAAGATTGTAGAATCAACTTATATTTTCTGAAAGAAATGTATAAGATAAAACAAAGTGATTACTTTACTCCTTTGTATATTTATAAAAGTTAACTTTTGGTTTTTGATAGGGTGAAAGTTACATTCTTCCTTTGGTAAAGAAGTTCGAGAGGTATTATTGTGTCAGTGGTTTAGTGGTAGGATGTTCTCCAACCACGCATCACCTGGTCCGAAATTCTACCTTCCACCGACATACTCATAAAGCTTGCTTAGGCGGTAATAAAACCAGGAAAGAGGGAAAGTTAGGTGTGAAATCAACAACCTGACCCCTTAAATGAAAAGACAGGGGGCGCTACTGAAACTCCATAAATTGAAGCCCTCCTATATTCCACTCAGAAGAGAGAAGAAAGAAACAAAACGTTGTGTAGATATATGAACTTAGTCTATAGCCTCTGATATAACCATAATTAGGAATTAACTCTCTTGGGTTTACCTGTAGTACCTTTTGATACTATTTGTCATGTAATCTGTAACTTTTCCTAAATATAATGAGGAAAAAAATATAAAGTCTATTCTATTGTAATTTAACAAACATTCTCAAAAGAATTGAATCAACTACCTATACTGTAGTAATCACTGGTTTTAAATTTTGCAAAATTTTAAAATTCTCTCTGTTATTTATAGTATCATAGATACCTTCTTTTCACTATGGTAGTTCATTTCACTGCATTTCCATATTATTAAGTATTTTAAAATATTCAATGTTGAATTGATCAGTTCCTGTCTCAAGTAACACTATAACAGACATCAAAATCATTCTTCAACTCTTCACTATTTTAACAAAATCTTGTTTGTTTGTCTGTTTGTTAGACAAGACAACAATTCACTATAGATCAAATTGCTAGAAAGAAGACAGCCAATGTTTAAGCCTATATTTTAAGAGGTTTTATAATATAAGTGAGCTCACAGTTCCTTCTAGAAGAGAAAAAAGCAGTTATTGTCAAATTTCCATTTCTTACCTGGAGTTGCTTTGAAAAACAAAAATAAGGTGGAAAACGAAGAAGAAGAATATGTACAGTTCTCAGTGACGTAATTCTGAACCTTTCTCGTGATGAAGTACAATTCTATTTTACCACTTACCTTTTTATATCAAATTCTACATATTTATGTGTGAATGCGTTAAAATTTGAGATTTTACCTTACAAATTCTTCTGACTGCTAAAGTTTACTTGACTTTTCTCCTACTATTGACAGTGGGAGTGCTGCTTTATTTTGATAACTGTAATCATTTGTACAGAAGTGTAAGTAAGAATTATCTTTTGATTTTCATTTGAAGAAATTTGATGAAGTAGGCTAATTTTTATTTGCTTTAGTAAGACAAAAAAATCGAGAACTTATGCCTTTCTCCAGACAGAAAATAAGAATTTTTACTGAAGATGTTATTTTTGCCAGTTTTGTATTTTATACAGTCATAAAATTGTAATTTTATTTTATAGATGGTGATGAAAGGTGAGAAGATTAATCACAAGACAGCAGAAGATAGTCCAAGAAAGAAATTTACTTTTATATATATAAAATAATTTTTAAGAATAAGGTATGATTAAAT